ATCCTTGTTACGAGTTCTCTTTTCTCTAAATGATAAGGCTTGTTGGACTTCTCGCGATGACGCGTGTCCGTCGTCGCCCGTGTGCGAATCCTCGTTTGCAATATACGGCTGGACGACGGGTCCACGAACAGCGTATAAGGTCGTCGTTCGAAATTTTTAGCCGCGACGTGCATCGCTGGAAATCCATTTTTGCTGCCTGCATATTCGCGAAAATCCGCGCAGGAGTTTTTGGGGGCGCCCACTCTGTCTCGATGGACGGCCTGACCAGCATTCGTACGTCGGGTCACGAATTCGCTGTTGTCTGCCGGGGCACACATCGACAATGATCCTTTCGCAGGTTCAACTATAGAATCCTTGTTACGAGTTCTCTTTTCTCTAAATGATAATTCTTACTGGACTTCTCGCGTTAACGCGGGTTCGTCGGCGCCCGTTCGCGAATCCTCGTTCGCAATAAACGGCTGGACGAAAAGTCTGCGAACACCGTACAATGTCGTCGTTCGCGATTTTTAGCCGCGACGTGCATCGCAGGAAATCCATTTTTACTGCCTGTATATTCGCGAAAATCCGCGCTGGAGTTTTTTGGGGCGCCTACTCTGTCTCGTTGGACGGCCTGACCGGCATTCGTACTTCGGGTCACGAATTCGCTGTTGTCTGCCGGGGCAGACATCGACAATGATCCTTTCGCAGGTTCAACTATAGAATCCTCGTTACGTGTTCTCTTTTCTCTAAATGATAACACTTGTTGGACTTCTCGCGATGACGCGGGTCCGTTGGCGCCCGTTCGCGAATCCTCGTTCGCAATATACGGCTGGACGACGGGTCCGTGAACAGCGTACAAGGTCGTCGTTCGCGATTTTTAGCCGCGACGTGCATCGCAAGAAATCCATTTTTGCTGCCTGTATATTCGCGAAAATCCGCGCAGGAGTTTTTTGGGGCGCCCACTCTGTCTCGATGGACGGCCTGACCTGCATTCGTACGTCGGGTCACGAATTCGCTGTTGTCTGCCGGGGCAGACATCGACAATGATCCTTTCGCATGTTCAACTATAGAATCCTTGTTACGAGTTCTCTTTTCTCTAAATGATAACGCTTGTTGGACTTCTCGCGATGACGCGGGTCCGTCGGCGCCCGTGTGCGAATCCTCGTTCGCAATATACGGCTGGACGACGGGTCCACGAACAGCGTATAAGGTCGTCGTTCAAAATTTTTAGCCGCGACGTGCATCGCTGGAAATCCATTTTTGCTGCCTGCATATTCGCGAAAATCCGCGCAGAAGTTTTTTGGGGCGCCCACTCTGTCTCGATGGACGGCCTGACCGGCATTTGTACGTCGGGTCACGAATTCGCTGTTGTCTGCCGGGGCAGACATCGACAATGATCCTTTCGCAGGTTCAACTATAGAATCCTTGTTACGAGTTCTCTTTTCTCTAAATGATAATTCTTACTGGACTTCTCGCGTTAACGCGGGTTCGTTGGCGCCCGTTCGCGAATCCTCGTTCGCAATAAACGGCTGGACGAAAAGTCTGCGAGCAGCGTACAATGTCGTCGTTCGCGATTTTTAGCCGCGACGTGCATCGCAGGAAATCCATTTTTACTGCTTGTATATTCGTGAAAATCTGCGCTGGAGTTTTTTGGGGCGCCCACTCTGTCTCATTGGACGGCCTGACCGGCATTCGTACGTCGGGTCACGAATTTGCTGTTGTCTGCCGGGGCAGACATCGACAATGATCCTTTCGCAGGTTCAACTATGGAATCCTTGTTACGAGTTCTCTTTTCTCTAAATGATAATTCTTACTGGACTTCTCGCGTTGACGCGGGCTCGTCGGCGCCCGTGCGCGAATCCTCGCTTGCAATAAACGGCTCGACGGCGGGTCCACGAATAGCGTATAAGGTCGTCGTTCGCAATTTTTAGCCGCGACGTGCATCGCTGGAAATCCATTTTTGCTTCCTGCATATTCACGAAAATTCGCACAGGAGTTTTTTGGGGCACCCTCTCTGTCTCAATGGACGGCCTGACCGGCATTCGTACGTCGGCTCACGAATTCGTTGTTGTCTGCCGGGGCAGACATCGACAATGATCCTTTCGCAGGTTCAACTATAGAATCCTTGTTACGAGTTCTCTTTTCTCTAAATGATAACACTTGTTGGACTTCTCGCGATGATGCGGGTCCGTTGGCGCCCGTGCGCGAATCCTCGTTCGCAATATACGGCTGGACGACGGGATCCGTGAACAGCGTACAAGGTCGTCGTTCGCGATTTTTAGCCGCGACGTGCATCGCAGGAAATCCATTTTTGCTGCCTATATATTCGCGAAAATCCGCGCAGGAGTTTTTTGGGGCGCCCACTCTGTCTCGATGGACGGCCTGACCGGCATTTGTACGTCGGGTCACGAATTCGCTGTTGTCTGCCGGGGCAGACATCGACAATGATCCTTTCGCATGTTCAACTATTGAATCCTTGTTACGAGTTCTCTTTTCTCTAAATGATAAGGCTTGTTGGACTTCTCGCGATGACGCGGGTCCGTCGGCGCCCGTGCGCGAATCCTCGTTCGCAATATACGGCTGGACGACGGGCCCGTAAACGGTGGCCAAGGTCATCGTTCGCGATTTTTGGCCGGGACGTGCATCGCATGAAATCCCTTTTCGCTGCCTACATCTTCGCGAATATTCGTGCAGGAGTTTTTTGGGACGCCGACTCTTCTCGATGGACGGCCTGACCGGCATTGGTACGTCGGGTCACGAAATCACTGTTGTCTGCCGGGGAAGACATGCACAATGATACTTTCGCAGGTTCACCTATAGAATCCTTGTTACGAGTTCTCTTTTCTCTACACGCTAAAGGCTTGTTGGACTTCTCGCGATGACGTGGGTCCGTCGGCGCCCGTGCGCGAATTCTCGTTGGCAATATTTGGCTGGACGACGGGCCCGTGAAATGCGGCCAAGGTCATCGTTCGCGATTTTTGGCCGCGACGTGCATCGCAGGAAATCCCTTTTCGCTGCCTAAGTCTTCGCGAATATCCGTTGATGAGTTTTTTGGGACGCCCACTCTTCTCGATGGACGGCCTGACTGGCATTCGTACGTCAAGTCACGAAATCGTTGTTGTCTGCCGGGGCAGACATCGACAATGATCATTTCGAAGGTTCACCTATAGAATCGTTGTTACGAGTTCTCTTTTCTCTAAAAGCTAAAGGCTTGTTGGACTTCTCGCGATGACGCGGGTCCGTCGGCGCCCGTGCGCGAATCCTCGTTCGCAATATTTGGCTGGACAACGGGCCCGTGAACGGCGGCCAAGGTCATCGTTCGATTTTCCATTTTCGTCCGTTCCAAAATAAGGTTATTATTTCCTAAGTTAATAATTGTATTACCTACTTAACATAATAAATACCCTTTCAACTTACAATATATTAAACCAATGTCACTACTTTTATATTATACCATACTAACAGGGGTATTTTTATCTTTTTAACTACAATCTAATATAATACTATTATTAAAAAATCTATATCAAAAAATAAACTTCAGAGACGGATGGAGTATATTATTATTTAAATTAAAATTCAAAATTAAGATCCAATGAAACTCCTAAAAAGAACAAACTCGGGTTTGTTTGTTATGGAGTTTAAATTAGGTTTATAATTAAAAAATAAAAAAAATAAATAAATTTTAAAAATATTTGATTTAATATTTTTAATAAAATATTTTATACTCTTTTCGCCCAACATATTATATTACTCTTATTTTTATCCGTCTTACACCTCATATTATTTTTTAAAAATATTATATATTCTAATGTTATTTTAAAAAATTTCACTTTATAATTTTTTAAAATTCTAAATTATGCTAATTATTTATCTTAATTTATAGTATATAATTATTTATATTGTACTTCTTTCGTCCCACTTATTGTGTCTATTTTTCTATTTTTCGTCTGTTTTATTTATTTTGTCATTTTTTTTTGTAAAAGATTTACCCATTAATTTCATTTTAAATTTTTAATTTATAAATTTTTAAATTTTAATTAAATTAATTAATTATTTTAATATTATTTATAATTATTTTTACTAATTCATTTATTCTAAATTTTTGTATGTACGGATAGGGCATTTTAGTAGGAAGGAATGAATGAAGTATAATTATTTGATAATTTTAAAAGAAAAAAGTATTAAATAATCCAATATCAAAATCAAATCAAATCTGATTTGTTTGCTTGCTTGCGTCTCTTTCAAGTGAAGCAATCCATTGAATTACGTGATACTTGGCATAATTAATACTCTCTTCGTCCCACGTACTATGTCCACGTTGTCGTTTCTATCCATCCCATATTTCATGATATTTTCCTTTTTTGAAAAATAATTACACATTTTAATCTCATTTTAAACTTTTTAATTTTAATTAAATTAATTAGTTATCTTAATCTTAATTTATAATTATTTATATTATAGAATAGTTATTTTCACTAATATATTTTTAATTATCTACTAATAATATCCCTCATAAAATACCGTATCTATAGTATAGCAGACACAGTATGTAGAACGGAGGGAATATATTTTTAAAAATATAAAATTGTAAAATTGTATAATATCTATTCTTATTTTCTTGATTCGATTGTTATTTAAATTTATTTACTTAGTTTTTAGTAAAAGAAGTATCATGTTTTCTTTTTACTTATTTTTTTTAAAATTATATTCGATCAAATGAACACATAATTAGATGACGAAATAAATAATAAAATAAAATAAACTTATATTCTTTTATATAAAAAAAAAAAAAGAAACCAATCACAAAACATTATACTACAATAAAACACAACTAACCAAATAATTCGTATTTTAAAATAATAATAATAATAATAATAAATAAATAAATAAAAGCATATAATAATACCTACCACAAAATATGCATGAATGAGTCCACAATGACAATAATTAAATAAAGACAAAATTCTTCCATACATATTTATAAATATATATATATAGCTCCTAGTGTATTTCATATCCTTATCCTAAATAAAATGATAAATCTTCTCCTTGTGCTCATCTTTCTTGGCGCATTTTTACATCTCCACCGCAAACGTAGAGCGAGACTAAGGCCAACACGGCCGTGTCCGCCGGGTCCTAAAGGCTTCCCGATCATCGGAAACCTTTTCCAACATAGCACAGAAGCCCCGCACATCCACCTATGGCAACTCGCCAAAAAACACGGTCCCGTAATGTCCCTAAAGCTCGGTTCCATCCCCGTTGTCATCGTATCATCTCCAAAAGCCGTCGAGGAAGCTCTAAAAAAAAACGACCTCATATTTAGCAATAGACCGAAGCTCGTCGGGCAATACAAGTTGTTCTACGATGGGCTCGACGTAGCGTTTTCCCGCTACGGCGAATTATGGCGGGAACTAAGAAAACTTTGCATCGTACACCTCTTGAGCAATCGAAGAGTTCAATCGTTTAGAAACGTACGCGAGGAACAAGTGTTTAAAATGATGGAGAAATTGTCATTGAGTGCAGATTCGGGCAAAACTGTCAATTTGAACGAGGTTATGGTGTCGCTTACGAGCGCATTAATATGTCGAATCGCGTTTGGCAAGATCGGAGTCGATGGAGGATCAGAGTTCAAGAGGTTTGATAAACTTATGGTCGAATCGCAAGCCATGCAAGCCGGGTTCTTCTTCGCCGATTACTTGCCTTGGCTCGGTTGGGTTGATAGAGTCACCGGGAAGATCAGGAGGCTCAACAAGATCTTTAAGGATTTCGATGAGTTTCTCGACGAGCTCATCGAAGATCACCTAAATCCGGATAGGATTAGATCGTCGAACCCGAACATACTCGAGATTTTGATCGAGCTCAAACATGAAAAGTCGTCTCCAATCGAATTGACTTGGAATCACATCAAAGGAATACTCATGGTGAGAAAATCTATCTCGAATACATCTTTTGTTTTATAGTTAGACTAGAGATGGTTCAATACGGTATACCAAAAATATACTAATACCGTATCAAAAATCGATATAACAGACATATATGTACTGATAATTCGGTTATATACCGAATAGTCCGTATAGTATCGATATACCAATATACTAAAACCTTCGGTATAAAAACGATATTCTTAGTATATATATATCGATATATACCAAAAATATCAAAATATATACTATTACCGTACCAAAAGTTCGATATAGTATAAAATTGATATTCTTAGTGTATAGATATCTATATATACCAAAAATATCAAATTTATATACTATTACGGTACCGAAAAAGCTCGATACAGTATTATACTGTATCAAAACATTGATATTTTCGGTACTTTTTCAGTACGATATGCTCGGTACTATGGCAATTCGATATCTTTTCACCCCTAGTTAGCCCATCATATCGAGATATTTACGTTCACCGATCGTTTGCAGGACATATTCGTCGCCGGGACAGACACCGCCGCCGTGACGGTAGTTTGGGCGATGACGGCTTTAATGAAGACACCCGAGGTGATGAAGAAGCTGCAAAAGGACGTCCGGGACATAGCCGGGGAGAAAGGCTACGTGAACGAAGACGACATACCAAAACTTCTGTACCTAAAGGTCGTCATAAAAGAAACCCTTCGGTTGTACCCGCCGACGCCACTCTTACTCCCGAGAGAGACGTTGGACGAGTGCACTATACAAGGCTACGCAATCCGACCCAAGACAATGGTGCACATAAACGCGTGGTCCGTGGCAAGAGATCCCGAGTATTGGGATCGTCCTGACGAGTTCATCCCCGAGAGGTTCTTCGATACTAGCGTCGACGTAATGGGGCAAGATTATCAGGTTTTACCATTCGGGTCGGGTCGAAGGGGGTGCCCGGGAATCGTGATGGGGCTAGCGAACGTCGAGATCGTGCTCGCAAATCTCGTCTGTTCCTTTGACTGGGAATTGCCTGTCGGGGTTAGTAAAGAAGATATCGACACAGATGTTGCACCGGGGCTAACCATGCATAAGAAGAATCCCCTTCGCCTTGTGCCCAAGCCGCGCAAGTTCGACTGATCGCTGCAAAATTTAGTAGTTAACAAATTACATTGAAATATTGCGAAGAAATTAGTGAATCCAGAGACGAATTTACTGTCCAAAAGCTAAAATTCACGAACATATATTTACATAGGCTAAAGAACAAATGTCATGAATAAAAATCGGGGTGGTCCATCGACAGATGGATATTCCCAACCATACCAGAGTCAAAGAAGAGAGAGGACAAAAACCATTATTGAATTATCCGGCAGCCAAATCTACAAAAATCTTGAGAGATTCGTTAAGCAAAACACATGTAAAGAGTAAGAAATATCCATGGAAAGCAAGAAACCGAATATCAACATCATGGAAATTAGAACTAAATATTGTGTGGCCAGCATTCGCAACGCACATTATATATTTTTCAGGATGATAATGCGCGTGGAAAACTAGTGTTGTTTGGCATTTTCATCACGCTAAGCCACTGATTTTGTCGCGTTCGAAGGAAAAAAGAATGGTGTGGTGCTTCTGCATACCATATTTTTTTTCTTTCCAGTGGAGTGGTCCGAAGAAACAGCACGGGCGATGAGTGGAAATGAATGCTTCTAAATCTTGAGCCCTGAATGTATGGCAACGACGCCTCCCACAAGGTTTTCGTACTCAACCTTCTGAAATCCAGCATCGGCAATCATTCTACTAAATTTCTCCTGCAATTGCCGTTGAGAATCTTTAAAATTAAAAGGATAAACGAAAACGCACTTTCAACAGCAAAAGAACTTGCTACGTTGATGGAGCGAAAGTTCTTTTTTAAGTATTGAAATCCATATTTCAAAAGAAGATTTGTGTAAAAAAAGGTGCACTTATAATAATCTCACTCAAAGGATCTTTGTCCGCTAATATTTATAATGAATTTATTTGATCTTCGACAGTTTTTTAAACTTGGTACACAAAGTTTGTCATATTTTTGTATGGCCATGAGCATAAAAGAAGGCTATCACACGATGTCACATTTATATATTGTATATATATAAATATGTGATGTGCATGCATTGTACCTGTGGAGGGAAGCGCCGGGCACTTTCAACAAGATACTGATAAGACGGACGATCGCCTGCTACTAGTTCTCCGAGTGTCGGGATGATTGAGAATGAGTAATAATCGTACCTAAAAATTATTATACAAACTGCATAAATTAGACTATTATAAAAGATACAGCAGAGCATGAAATATTGAGACGTTCAAAATTATATAAAGCCCCAAGGAACATGCATAAGAATATATTATGCCTAATATATTCTAGAACCCATCCAACTCTTGCTACTAATATATTCAGTACTAAAGGCAGCAAAAAAAAAAAAAGAATAAGTATCAGAACTAATGTAATATTCCCCACAAAGTCAAACGATGATGGATTGAATGAACCGAAAAGGAGAATACAAAACAAAACTCCATGGGAAAATTTATTGAAGCAATGAGGTGTAGGAAGGTGGCAAGCTGTATTGTGAATTACTCCATCCGTCAACTAACAATAGACATATTTTTTTTCCATTTACGGCATCTGCGAACAATTGACACATTTCCTTATTTGGTACTATAATTTCATATAGAAGTATCAGAATATTCCTGTCAATAGACATTCATTATTAAGGGTGGACAATACAACCTATAAGTAATTTAGTCTTTACACACTTATACATTATCTACCAAATATAAATATTATTAATCCTTAATCAACATGCAAATATGGATATATTTATACTTAATCGACAGGGGAGTATTACATACAAGGCACAAAAACAATCCTCTAAAATCAAGAAAAGAAAGGAGACACCTTCACACAAATGAATTATATGTAAATCAAAAGATAATCAACAGTAGATGACATTAGGGAGTGCAAATAAGAATCATCTGTGGCAAAGATTGGAAGACAGGAATTTATTGATCGAATTCAAAGGTAAAAATATGGTCAATTAAGAGGGTGACTATGATCAGTGATTCTTATTGCAGAGGGCCACACAAAACAATATTGTCATTGAGCATAGGTTGAAACCCGAGCATCGTCAGAGGCAAGTTGTTGACGCAAGCAAACAGCAAATTGTAGGAAAAATAAGACATACACTAGTTTTTGCGGAGAACCAAGTCACTTTTGATTAATGAAAGTTGTAAAGTTCTATCATGCGTACATGCTCAAGTGCTCACAGAATGTATCACAGAGAGGCTTCGATTTAACGTAAATTCAGTAATACTTACAAATTTTTAAAGATTGGAACGTCCACATGGCTCAGTTCCAGGCAAAGAAATCTTCCGCCACTTTTAAGTACCCTTTAAGTAGATGAAAAAAAATCAAGCTATGCAGAAATGTAGTACCAATGCATACAAATACAAACAGAGAATGCACGGAATCACAAAAAGTAGTCAATATCCAACACCAAATCATAAATAACATAACTGATCGCTACGAATATTCGATTGGAAAGAAAACAGAATCCAAACAGAGATAAGAAGGCAACCTGTAAGCTTCCGCAAGAGCCTTTTCAATATGTGTTACATTCCTAATTCCAAACGCAATTGTGTAACCGTCCATTGAATTATCATCAAATTTTAATGCTTCTGCATCTCCCTCGACCCATATGAGAGATTTATCCTTCCGATAACCTGATTGCACAAATACATTAAAAATGAGACTGCTTTAGCCCCTGAGTATAAATTTTTCCATGGAAATACATTCATGCTTTTGGAAATTGTATAATTTTAACCAGAATATCAACTAACCTCTCTCCTCAGCCCTCTTTTTTCCAACTTTTAACATATGCGGATTAATATCACATACAAAGATTTTAGTTTCTTCCAGTAAGCTGTCATCTTGAACATTTCTGAGGGCTCTATCCGGAACATCGTAGATATTTTCCATTATTCTGAAAGCTACATCCCCTACAAAAGTAAAGAAGCTCTTCACTCAAGCCTATCATATCACAACAAGACACTTCAAACAGCAAGAAACACATTTGATCTTCTCTAAAGTCAAAGAATGGTAAGAGAGAATATCCAGGCTCGTTTATATAGGCTGGAGAATTTGCTAGCAATGCACAAAACTTGATCCTAAAGATTATCTTGCTCAATATCTTCTTAAAAATAAAAGGCCTTTTGCAACAAGCAAAGCTCTTTCGATGGCATGACATGTGATTCATAACCCATAACTTGTCTCAAAGTCAAATTCATTTCAACGAAAAGTTCACAAAAAGGATTAAGTAAATAACCGCTGTGAAATCTCACAATGTATATGTTCATAATCCATCTTCAATTCATAAAAAAAAAAACATCAAATTAGCCCCAAAATAAATACTAACATATCAATTTGATCATTAACAAGCCGTAAAGTTTTCCTCTAATTGACTTAATCAAATGAACATTTTCAATCGTAGGTGTAAGATGAACCCTAATTATTCCCAAAACTTCATTAACCTGTCAACCTAAAGCTCACCTGTCCCACCAGCCACATCAAGATGCTTCATCCCGGGAAATGGATTCAATTCAGATACCAATCTACAAACCATTTACAGAAGAGATCATATTAAACAAAGAAATCAACTTCCCAAAATCAAAGCCACAATGAAGCATCCACAAAAACCTAACCTATCCTTCCATAGCCTGTGCAGACCACCGCTCATCAAATCATTCATGAGATCATACTTCGATGCAACGCTCGTGAAAACATTTCCAACCATTCGACTCTTTTCATCCTCTCTAACTTCCTTAAATCCTGCGCGAAGGGGAAAAGCAAAATCCTTACAATTTTACAACGTCCTCAAACAATTATATCCTACAAAATTACATACGTAATTGCACACCAAAAACACAACAAATTGAACGCTTTTCGAAACAAATACATGAAAGCGAAACTAACCGAAACTCGTGGCATGCGAATGCAGAGGCGAACACGAACCACGCAGCGGCGACAGAAGATTACTCCTCCTCAAGCTGCGATAAACTGATCTCAAAGCCATGAAAACCCGGCAAATGCGCAGTCCCCCAACTAATTTGAATCGTAACAAACAGAAATGAAGCAGGATTGATATTCTAGAGCAATTCCCGATCGCCGTAGAACTTTCCGTCAGTATGGCTCCAAATATAAGCTTCAGAAACCGGCCACGTCGCAAATCTAGGCCCAATATAAATACGGTTGCTGATGGCGACTTGGGCCCGGACCTCATTTTGGTATGGACCCGACCCGTTTAGGATTTTTAGAAAAGACACTAGTTTACTTTACAATTTTCTAATCCATTTTATTATTTCAATTTTTCTTTCTTTTTAAATATCAAATCTAATTCTCAATTTTTATTTATTATATTATATTAAAATTTAATGTTATATTCAAAATATCACATCAATACATATTTATATCATAACAAACAATTATTTCAATTCAAAATTTTTTTATTCAAAATGAAAATAAAAAATCAAAATATTAAAAAACAGCTATACCCAACTTTAAATAAAATTTTACTAATATATATAATATATATTGTGTTTATTTTTTTCGAAAAAATCAAAATTCAAGCAAATACTTAAAAACAGTTACAGGTGTCTTTGCTTCGATTTGAATTTTGAGTTGAGATAAGATAGCAAGATTTTTGAATTTGAATAGTTGTATAATGTAATATAAATAGATGTTGATGTGATATTTTAAATATAAAATTATTTTTCAGTATAATATAAAAAATAAAAAATAAAGATTTGATTTGATATTTTTTAAAATAAATAAATAAATAAATAGTGTATTCACACCCTAAGGGTGTGTTTGTTTGGGGGATTGGATTTTGAGTTGGGATTTGAATAGTAAAAATTTTGAATTTGAATAGTAGTATGATGTGATGTAAATAGGTGTTGATGTGATGTTTTGAATGTAAAATTTATTTTTAGTATAATATAAAAAATGAAAAATAGGTGTTTGATTTGATGTTTTTGGGGGGGAAAAATGGGATGAATAGTAAGATTTTGTAAAAGTCTTACAACCGAACACACCCTAAATAAACACACCCCATATCCAACAAACATTATTACAGCTAAAATGTGAGAATTCTCTATTATTTGTGTGAAAGATTATTTTATTTAATATTAACTATTTTTAAATCTCGAATACTTTCTTGAGCATCTCCAACCCAGCACCATTAATAGCATTACTTTATTTTATTTTTTTTTATTTTTTTTAAAATTATAAATTATAAATTTAATTTTTATCTTTTAAAATTTTTAAAAAATTTATTTTAAATTATAAAAATAAAAAATTATTTAAAATAATATGAAAATTTTAATATTTAAAAAATAATAATAATAAATAAAATTACGGTTAGAATAAATTTACTGTAACACGAAGAAGGCTAACACAAACTGAACTCGGGCTCTAACATCGCTTTTTTCAAATTAAATTCTCTTACTATTCAAAATTAAACTTCAAAATTCAAATCACCAAACAAATTCTATACCTAAAATATTAGCTAAAAAAAAAAAAGAAAGTGAGTATATTTCTTTTCAGTATATCGATATATAGAAGTGACACGTGTCAACCAACGAGTGGCAGAAAACCACCTTAATTTCCATACAGCCTTTTCCTCGTATAGGATGTTCAAACCCAAAATCTGTGCAGCCAAAAGAGACACACAGAAGCTACAAACTGGTCTGAAACTTCTACTTAAACTCCCTCATTTATCACATCATCTCATCTCCATTACTTACACACAGTGGTTGAGCCACCACCATCTCGGAATCCAACCGCCGCCGCCGCCGCTACCGATACCACACGATCGGCGTTGCCGCTGCCGCTGTGCTCGGGGGAGGCTGCGGGAGGACGCAGTGTTGCTGCTGCCATTGGTGGAACTGATGCTCGACTGGATTCTCCATGCTCGATTGGCCGGTTTGATTGGCGGGGTAGTTGTCTTCAACTTCCATGGCGGCTGCTTCGTCCATTTCTTGAGTATCCATCATCTCAGAAGTATAAGGTTCGGCTGGTGTTGAATTTGATGATGTTTGTGCAGAAACGAGCGTTGAGGGAACCCATGGAACGACTGCGAGGGACCCATTGCTGGAAGCGGTGCTGTCGTCGCCGTCGTCCGGAGTAGGCTCGCGGCTTGGTGTCCAATGGTTCGGCTGGTTCGACCACAGGACTTGATCTACATGGCATACAGAAACTGGTTACTTGGTCAGAAATTATCGGGAGTTGAGACGTTGACTGTATTTTTTTTAAAAAAATGTACATATAATACATGTTTTTCATTAAGAATAGGTAATATTGCTCATAACTCCCTCGTAGTTTCGACGTAAAATCTTCTTATACTTTAAAAATTGCATGACCTCCCTTATATTTTAATAACTGTTGCATGAAATTACATAGCCATGAAATCTTCCTTGTGATGAGATGATTTTTTATCTATATTTTTTTTGCAAAGTAAAGAGGATTTACACTGAGTTTCAGAACCATAGGAGTTTCATGCAATATTTTTTTAAGTATAAGGGAGCATCATACAATTTTTAAAATAAAAGAGGGTTTACGCTAAGTTTCAAAACTACAAGGAAGTTACGGACAATTTTGTCTTAAGTATGAAAGTAGATACTTGTTTTCGTTACAAAACATCGTATCGAGGCATATCTAAATCTATTTCTTTGTTGTTACCAAAAATCTTCGACACTACAAAACACTTACAAAGCATATCTGAACTTAATAATTTCTCAAATTATTCAGCTTGTACCGAGTGTTTTATAACACATATTAAACAAGGTGGAATGAAATAACAAATGCATAAAATTAACAAACTATTTCGTACGGGTTAGACGATTACGTTCTAGTGGTGTATAGTTATCCTACTTGGTTATTTTTAACATCACTTCGAATAGTACCAACTACCATAACACACATTAAACATGTCTAATACAACATAATAAGCAAAGTAGAATGAAATGACAAATACAAAAAAGTTAACAAACTACTATTCCGAACGGGGTAGATCATTCACTTTCCGGTGGATTATAGAGTTATCCTACTTAGTTATTTCTCACATCATTAGACTTGTAACGACTACTAGAACACATTAAACATGTCCAATGCACCATATAACAAACAAGGTGGAATGCGATGTCAAATAAGTAGATGAACAAACTATCAATGTTCAATGCTCTAATAATATTGTAGAAGAAAACATGGACTATCCCAGCAATCGACAACCTATGCAATTAGTCGCTGTAAAGGCTTGAACAGAATTAAATTAAAAAACTATCAATGTCTAATGTCAATTATATCATTCAAGAACACATTGGGTATCAAGGAAATCCAAAACCTATGTCACTGCAAAGATCTCGAGTGAAATTTATTTCAATTCGCTATTAAACCAGGAGTTCATGTAGCCAATTAACAAATTAATCACATTCTGAGCAGATCAATGAACCTATTTGAAATGGCTTTATCATTCACAAGAATCCAATTAAAGCTCAAAACTCATACGGATGAATTAAAACTTACTTTTAAGCCCCGATACGAGGGAAGGATCGATGGATACAGAGAAATTGGATGGAGTCTGCAGCAATGGATTAGTGTTGTTTGGATTGAAAAGAACAATTGCCCTCTCTTCATTAACCGGTTCATCAGGTAATTCCTCGATCTTTATACCGCCAGTTGAATTAATGTCGTAGCTCTGTTCGTTGGGATGCCAATTCTCAATCTCGATCGGTATGTCGGATTCCTCCTCCTCGATTATAGGCGGTAGACCAGCATCCTGAATTCAAGCAATTCGATGAACGAACAAAAATTAAAGGACGGTCAATATATAAAATTCTAGGGCACAAAGGTAAACTCATATGACAATTTCATCACTGTGCACTTAGAATCATACAAAAAGTGATAACACAAAACTCAAATCATCCTGAATTCAAGCAATTCGAGGAACAGACTAAAAAATCACGGCTCGATGAAACAAATTTTAGCGCACAAAGGTAAACTCAGATGCCAATTTCATCACTGCGCACTTAGAATCATACAAAAAGTAATAAAACAAAACTTACCGAGCAGCATCCTGAATTCAATCAATTCGAAGAACAGACAATATATATATATATATATAATAAAAAAAAAGTTGAAGGACTAAAACGTTCAATAAATCAAATTCTAGCGCACAAAAGGTAAACTCAAATGCCGATTTCATCACTGTAAACTTAGAATCATGCAAAAATTAATAACAAAAAACTTACAGAGCAGTGTTCCAATGTAGAAAACGAATTCCATGAGATAATTTTTAAAAAATTACCAGCCGACGGATTTTCCTGGCTGGAGAAGTGAGGGGAAAGTCGGAAAAATCGTCGGTGACGTCTTCCAAGCCCTTCCTCTTCAACCTCGAAGGAAAATAATCCTCCATGGCTCTTGATTCTTAACTCTGGACAAAAACCCTAAAACTGGCGGCTTCAACAATCCTCCAACGCCAAAAAAAAAAAAATCAAAACAACAATACCCTAAATCAGCGACCAGCGGCAATGAATTAGGAATTTCGCGGATAAAATGTGGAGAAATTCGATCGTTGTTGAAAGAAAAGGACAGGAGCAGAGTCTCGTGGAAACTTCGCGAATAAACAGCACCGATTGTGTGAGCTTTCTATATGGTTCTGGATGTCTCCTGGAAATTCCAACTTCAAGGATGATCCAGACCATTGGATTTGTAGACCCTACACGCGGGCCCCACGCGATGAACGGCCTTGATCGTTTCTAGAATGGATGAAGAAAATTGAAGGACCACTTAACTTAGCCCGTCGGCGACAAAACTTAAGATAAATAGAATTTAGTACAGTTCTATTCTATTTTATTTGTCTTGTTTTAGTTTTAGGTCTTTTTTTTTTGTTTTAGTTTTAGTTTTAGTTTTAGTTTTAGGTCTTGTTTCAACGAGGGTGTGTTTGTTGGAGTGATTTTGTTGGATTTGTATTATTCTTAAAAAAAAAAAATTAAAAATATCAAATCAAATATTTATTTTTTATTTTTTATATTATATTAAAAATTAATTTTATATTCAAAACATTATATCAATTCTTATTTATATCACATCATATATTTATTCAAATACAAAATTTTTACTATTCAAATCTCAACTTAAAATCCAAACCCTCAAACAAACACACCTTGAATGGATTTCGGAATTTTGGAATAAATTTTAAATGAGTATATGTTAATTCTTTTGGTTTTAAAATAGTATATAATTAAAACATATTATTTTATTTTAAAAAATAATTAAAATAATTCTTCTTTTAAGGAATAATTTGAAAGTAAACTTGTGACCATATAGTAATAAGTAGGAATTTTATTAGCTAATCAAATTTTTATTCCTATTTTTTGTATTACATTATAAATTGATATTTTATGAATACATAATACTTATTTATATTATCAAATACTTATTCAAAACACAAATGCACCTTTAAAATTTCTTTAACCCAAATTCCTTTTAACTATTTAGATTTTGTGTTTTATAAAAATATAGTATATTTTTCCTTAGTCACAACTTAGAAGTATTTTCTTTATTATTTTTATTCGTCTTACTTAAAACTATTTTTTTTATGATAATAAAAACAATCACACTACTACTAAAATATGTTAATTTTTACATAAATTATAAATATATAATTAATATATACATAAACTATAAAATAAAATAAAAAAAAAAGAAAAACAAAAAATTTAATATCTATTTTACACATTTTCACCAGTTAATAAAATAATATTTTTTTATCATTCAATTGTGTGTTCAAATAGTTGGACGACTATTTTAATATAAATGGATGATAATTGTTGTTTTTTATTTTTTTAGAAGAAAATATTAAAAACATATATATAATAAAAAAATAAATATAAATTTGAATATAGACTTATTAATTTTCAATTGAATGCAAAAATCTAAAAATATATTTTGAATCAAAATAACAAAAGTATATTTTTTTCTTACAAAATATTATATCAAATATTATTTAAATATATCAATCAAAATCAAATGAAACAAACTTGCGATTATTTTAGACGATACAATTATTTATTTATGCATTCGTTTAATTTTTTCACGAAGTTTTAAAAATATCAGTATTATATTGGGATATAATAGAAATAAAGTAGAAATGACTAAAATAAACTTATTAGTATTGTGTGATATAAAAGTAATATCATTTGTGTAATATATTGTAAATCGTAAGGATATTTGTAATATTGGGTAGATAGTATACCAAAATAAAAAAAAAAATGATAGTTTATAATGCGAGGGAGGGAAATAATATTTTTTGTTATCTATTACTCCCTCCGTCCCAGATACCGTGTCTGCTATACCGTAGACACGGTATTTTAGGAGGGGTGTAATTAGTGTATAATTAAGATATTATCTTATAATATAAATAATTGTAAATTAAGATTAAGATAACTAATTAGTTTAATTAAAATTTAAAAAAAATAAAAAAAATTAAAGTGTGTAATCATTTTCCAACAAAAGAAAATAACATAGTATGTGGACGGACAGAAACGGCAACGTGGACATGGTATATGGGAACAGATGGAATATTATTATTATTATTATTATATGTCCTTTCATTCAAAAATATGGTTCGGCCCAGCCCTGGACTAACCCAACATAATTCGATCAATGGGCCGGACTGAGCTAGCTTGCACTTCCTCCTCACTAAATTTACAAATATTTTTTAAATGAATGTCTTTTAATATATATAATACCCCATCTGTCCCATAAACATAATCTTAATTAGGTTAAACACGAGATTTAAGAAATGTTAATATTATATTAATAATTGGTAAAATGTATGAATATAAAATTTTTTTGTCCTTGTGAATGTATTAGTGTAAAAAAATAGTGGCAATTGTATAATAAAAATAAAAAGGTAAATATAGTTTTATGGTGATATAATTATTTATGAAAATAAGTCTATTATTTTGGAATAGACAAAAATGATAAATAAGAGTGATGTATTGGAATTTAACACGTAATTGTTTAATTAGAAACTTTCTTGTATCTTATTTATAAAAATTTCAACACCACTTGAACATTCACAGTGTTCTAATTTGGGTGTCAAATTCAAATTATCATTATTAAATATGCACCATTTTAATAAAGATAAAATATTTTCTCAAAATATTATTTAAATTATAAAATCAAACTCAAATACAAACCACATAAATTTTTAATTTATTTTTTAATTTTCTTTCATCTTGTTAATTCATTTATACACTTAAAAAAAATAAAAATACTATTTTCGTCCGGACTAATTATGTCATCTTATTTGAGTATAGAGATTAAAAAACAATGATATTTAATGTAAAATAAAAAGTAAAATAAATTATTATACGGAATTTATTAAAAAACTTATAACAAATTTATTTTTTCTTTATTTTTTTTAAAAAAATTAAAAATTCACGTGTACGCCAGATGTCGTTGACCCAACGAACATGTGTCATCCGGCGAGCCATGCGGATGCCACGTAAACCTCTCCGGCAATTGGAAAAATTTTCACTTATAAGACTAGTTTACGACAAAGTTCAATTACAAGAATAAAATGATAAATGATATACGGAACTAAAAAATTAGTTTACCCTATTTTTTTTTTAATGTAAAAGAATGCCTTTTCTTTTTATAAAATTTTTAATTAAACAATATATTATTACAAAACTCAAACAAAAAGTTTTCAACCAAACTAAAAAAAAAAAAAACACACCGAAGATGTCCCAAATCAAAACAATAACAAAAGAATAGAATAAATAAAAATAATCTAGGATATGTTTAAATAGAAAGTCAATATTTAATTCAATACCAATATTATTTTAAAAAATAATTTAAAATTTTCAAAAATAATACTAAATTTAATTGATTTTAAGGGCTAGAAATATACACCTACCCTTCTGGTCACGTGCGAGACGACATGCACGTGATACACTGTAATAAATCCCGGTTATAAAACGTGGGGCCCAGCGGGTGTTACTGGGCAGTTAGAGCACTGAGCGTCCGACATAGTGTAAAATTGAAAAGCTCCAGGAATCTTGAAAACCAGATAAATTTGAACCGTGATTATATAAGATGGACGGTGTAGATTTATTTGGTTCTGAGCTCCCGGGTGTTTACAATAAATACGAAAAAACCGATAAATTAATACCACAGGTCTAAAGTCAATAAAAAAGTCAGTCAAAATTCCTTTTGAAAATCGCGTCCGGATTTTGTGTCTCCGTATAATACTTGTCTGTACTGAGAGCGTACGTATCGCCTTCTGCCACGCGCGCGTGCCCCTGCCTCTGTGAATTTACATATCTACCCTTTTATCATAATTAATTTAAAATACATATTAAAATATTTTAAAAACTACTCTTTCCGAGGTAAAAATATCTATTTTTGTCGCCGGTCACTAATATATCTATTTTCTTATTTATTTTTTAAATAATATTCTTTTTGTCCCATTATATATTATATGTTTTTGAGTAAAAATTATTTTTGGTCCTATTCAATATCATAATTATCAATTTTGGTCTCATTAAAAAAAATTATTAATTTTGGTCCCATTAAAAAAAATTATCAATTTTGGTCCCACTCAAATGAAAATTTATCAATTTTAGTCATAAAATGATTGACTGTGACTGAACACGACAGTGTTGGCTTGAACACGACCGTATTGGATGACTCAGAAGGTAATAGGGCGTCCCAGACAGCCAACACGGCTGTGTTGATTACCCTGCACTTTTGAACACGGCCGTGTTCCTCTCCTTGTTTCTACCCGTGTTCTTAACACAGCCATGTTCCTGCCCATGTTCTCAACACAATCATGTTCACGACCATGTCTTCAATATAATCATATTGTAAGTCATATTTATTATTATTTTAACTTTTTGGTTAAAATTATTTGATATATATATTTATAATTCAACAAAAATATTTTTTACAATAATTTTATAATATAAAAAATAATCAATTTTTAATATATAAAAATAATAATATATTAATATATATTTTTAATAATATTCCCTCCGTTCCACTTACCATGTTCATATTACAGTTTCTGTCTTTTCCATATCACATGTCACTTTCCTTTTTTCGGAAAATAATTACACACTATTTTTTAATTTAATTTTTTTTTAGTTTTAATTAAACTGATTTATCTTAATGTTATGATAATTATTTTCACTAATGCATTCTTAATTATCTATTATTTATACTTATTCTAAATTCTCATGTCTATAGTGACCCAGATACATGAGACGGAGGGAGTATTATTTTAAAATTTTTACTATAAATTTTTAAAAATATATATAATGATGATTATATATATTAATATATTTTTATTTTTATATATTTGAAAAATATTAAAGTTGATTATTATTTTATATCATGAAATAATTGTAAAAAATATTTTTGTTAAATTATAAATATATATACCAAATAATTTTAACCAAAAAGTGAAAATAATAATAAATATGACCTACAATATGATTATATTGAAAACATGGTCGTGAACATGACCTAGAACATGGTTGTGTTGAGAACATAGGCAGGAACATGGCCTAGAAACATGGTAGTGTTGAGAACATTGTCAGAAACATGGATAGGAACATGGCTATGTTGAAAACACGGGCAGGAACACGGCCGTGTTCAGAAGTGCAGGGTAATCAACACGGCCGTGTTGATTGCCTGGGACGCCCTGTCACCTTTTGAGTCATCCAACACGGCCGTGTTCAGTCCCAATCAACCATCTTGGGACTAAAATTGATAAATTTTCATTTGAGTGGGACCAAAATTGATAATTTTTTATAAATTTAAAAAGTTTAAAAATTATAATTCTTAAATAGTTAAAATTTATGAATAAAAATAAAGATTACGTGATATAAATAATATATTTAAATTAAGGGTGTGTTTGTTTGAGGGTTTGGATTTTGAGTTGGGATTTGAATAGTAAAAATTTTGAATTTGAATAGTTGTATGATGTGATATAAATAGGTGTTGATGTGATGTTTTGAATGTAAAATTGATTTTTACTATAATATAAAAAATAAAAAATAGGTGTTTGATTTGATATTTTTTGGGGAAAAAATTGGATGAATAGTAGAAATCTAATTAAATCCCCCAAACAAACACACCCAATAATTAAATAATTCAATTAAAAACAATAAAATTATACATTTATTGGATTTATAATTTGATTTTAATATATAAATATTTTCTAAAATGGATAAAAATAAATTATGGGTGTGTTTGTTTAGGAGATTGGATTCATGCCCTTTTTTTCTCCAAAAACATCAAATCAAACACCTATTTTTTATTTTTTATATTATACTAAAAATCAATTTTATATTCAAAACCAAAACATCATATCAAAACATATTTACGCCATTTTTTGGCGTTGCTTTATTATTTATTTTTTTAATTTTTAAAATTATAAATTTGATTTTTGAATTTAATTTTTATTTTTTAAAATTTTAAAAAATTTTATTTTAAATTATAAAAATAAAAAATTGTTTAAAAATAATATGAAAAATTGAATATTTGAAGAATAATAGTGAAAAATGGAGTAATGATTTGAGTAAAATTACTATAGTAACTAACAATTGAATATTTGGAATTAAAATTGAATAAATAAAGTTGATGGATTGGAGATAATCTACGTTGAGCATAAAGAAATAGGAGTATTATTTATTTATTTATTTTTCAGCCATGGATCATGTGGGCAGAAACATTATATTTGTAATATTTTAATATCACAATTAAAAAATTATTTACTAAGTACTAAACAGCGTGATCGTTGCTGACTAACTGATTTTTAGGAGCTCAAATCACATCGGTTAATGGTAATTCAGAAGTCTTCGCTAAACCAATATTTTTATCGATTTTTACTGCTTAAAATTTAAATCTTTTAAATATATATATATTTATATATTTATATTTTACATAATATCATTCCAAATAGGAGTATTAATTAATAAGAAACATACCAACAACCCTAAATTGAAATTTGAAAATTGACATTTACCTAAATCAAAATTAGGAATTGGAAACTGAAACCTTTTGGCCTTTTTCTTGACAAAACTAAACATCGCCGTTAAAAGCAGCCAGCATATTGCTGTAAAAATGCTGCCAATGGTTTCAGAAAATTAACCCTAAATGGTAAAAAACTAAAAAAAAAAAGTAAAAAAAAAAATTTAATGGGAAACAATCCCTTGTCCAGAGTAACCCTAATTGAAAACAAAAAGGGTAAAATCAATAATAATGAAGACCAAAACGACGCCGTTTCAGTATAGAAAAAAGGAAAGCAAAAACGACGTCGTTTGGACGGCCGATTCAGACCTTCAAGCCCTCCATCTTCTCCGGCAACAATGGCACTGTACACGACGACGGCAATGAATCGATGTGAAGCGGCGGAATTATCTGCAGGAACTGGTCGAGGCGGAATCCGGCGAACCGCGCTTCGTCTTCGTCGAGCAGCCGGAGGATCTGGTGGAAGAATCCGGCGTCGCAGGGGAGGACGATGGCGCCGTCGGCCGGAAAACCGAATTCCTCCTCAGCCTGATCGAGAAGCGCCACGAGGACCGGGAGGTTGAGGAACCGCGTCGGAACGACGAACCGGCGGCGCTCGGGGCCGACGTATACGGCGACGCATCCCGCCGGCGTTCGTACGGACGGCGGAGATGGGAAGTAACATGGCGCCGTGCGGCGGCGCGTTAGGCTTTTGGCCTTCCAACGCCTGACGACGTTTCTCAGCCGTACGATCTGCTTGATCATAATCGGACCGTTGATCGCCGAAGCCATTGATTTTTTGAGAGAGTTTGGGTTTCAGGAATGGGCGCTGTGGTGCAGAGCGTTTCAGTGTATGTGAAGTGAATTCGAAAGTGGAATTACTAAAGTACCCCTGGATGCGGATATGGTTATTGTAACCGCTTTTTACTGATTTTTCGGTTGGTATTTTTTTACTTAAAGCTGGGGCGTTATGGTCATTTCGGTAGACACGTTACTGAAAATTATTGTATACAATTATTTAATGGCTTTTATGGCATGGTTAGTGAGTGTTGGAAAAATATTACAATAATAATTTTGTTTTTATTTTATTTTTAGAAAAATTGAAAATTGAGGTGGCTTCAAATGTGGCCCAAAGAGTTACTATTTAAGTTGAATTTGGTGAAAACTTTATGGTAATATTTAATCATTTTGAATATTGAACATTGAATTTAATGCTGATATATATATATATGCTTTTAATCTTTTATTCAGATAATTTCAATTTAAAATGATTTGTATACAAATAATTTAGTTAGTAGTATCTCAGAGATTCACTAATATTTATAGGGTTTGTTTTTTTACTTTGAGTTTTTCTTTTATCTTTTTAGTATTCAAAATTTTCTTAAAATACTATTTCGTCCGTCCACATAATTTGTCCCTATTTTCTATTTTCGTTCACGTAACTTGTCATTTCTATTTTTGAAAATATAATTATACACTTTAATCGCATTTTAAATTTTAAATTTTATAATTTTATTAATTTTAATTAAACTATTTACTTATCTTAATCTTAATCTATAATTATTTTTATTAATACACTTCTTAATTACTTCTTAATTATATTTTTTCTAAATTCTCGTATCTACGGTAATACACCTATATTACATGGGACGGAGGGAGTACTAAATATTTATTTTATTATATTTAATTTATTGAAAGATATATTTTATTTTTTTATGGTCATAAAAATTTCTTTCATTTCTCTTTTTTTTTTTTTTTTTTAAAAGAAAAAACTCATGTTATTTTTAGTATTTTTTTATATAAAAAAATTCAAACCAGTGCCTAAATATTTGAATATGCATTTCAAAAAAATTATTTTCTTTAAAAATTAAAATATTTGCAATATTTTATTTTATATAATATTTTGAATATGATAAAAAAATCTGAAAGGCCCATTCTAATTCAGAACTGAGCCCATGATATTAAACCTGGGTCTGACCCGCTGTTGTGAGCCTCATTTAGGGCCATTAGTTTAGAATCACTTGGGCCTTATTCAAGTAAGTGGTTTAGATTTATTTATTTTGTGTTTACGTAGTGTATATAATGTCATAGTTGCTATATTAATAAAAAAAATTTAAAAATATATTAATAAAATTATTTACAGTATAATATAAATTATGATTAATTAAAATTAAAATAACTAATTAGTTTAGTTAAAATTATAAATTATAAAAATAGCATTAAAATATGATATAAATTGTGGGACAAGACAAAAATGAAAATTAAAAATACTACTCCATCCGTTCCAATATAATAGTTTTATTTACCATTTTTGTCCGTCCCAAAACAATAGTCTTATTTTCATAAATAACTATATCACCATAAAAACTACCCCTACTTTTTTCATTTTTATTACACAATTGTCACTACTTTTTACACTAATACACTCACAAGGGCAAAAGAGTCTTTTATCCATACTTTTTTTACCAATTATCAATATAATATTAATATTATTTAAATCTCGTGCTCAACCAAATTAAGACTATATTTATGGGATGAAGGGAGTACTTATTTATGAATCTAAATGCTATATTTATATTTACTTTTTGCATGTTAATTTTTAAATATTATTATTATATTAAAACATACAACAAATCAATAAAAAATGACAAAAATATTTGTATTAGTGTTGATAAAATGAAATTTGTACAAAAAAAATTATACGAAAAAATGTAAATATAACTATTAGAAATAGACAAAAAGATTAGGCTGTGAATTTCCTCTATGTGTTGATGACTTAATTCAACCATTAATTATGTTATTAAATAATTAATTATGATTTATATTACTCCTCTGTCCCATAATTAAATATCTTTTTTTTTTTTTTTATATAGTTTTAGAAATATTAGTATTCCTTCCGTCTCATTGAAAGGTTATCATTTTTCATTTTCGTCAATCCCAAACAAGTTTACCATTTTCTAATTTAGTAATTGTACTACCTATCTAACATAATAAGTACTCTTCCAACTTATATTATATTACACAAATGTCATTACTTATATTACACCATACTAATATAGGTATTTTCGTCTTTTTCAATAGAACTCATTATAATACTAATATTAAAAAATCTACGTGCAAATAATAAATGGCAATCTTGTATCGGGACGGATGAAGTATTATATTTGGATGTAGTATAAATAATGTAGAAATAACTAAAATAACTTTATTAGTATGTGTGATATAAAGGTAATGACATTTGTGTAATATATTGCAAGTTGTAAGAGTATTTGTAATGTTAGGTAGATAGTACACTTACTTGAAAAAAAAAGAAATAGATACTTTGCTATGAGACGAACTAAAATTAAAAAATAGATATTTTGTTATGGGACGGAAGAAATATGTAATTATATAGTTAATTATACATGGCAAAGTGCTGAATTTGACACTCTTCGTTTTCTTCTAATAAACACAGCAACGGCAACGAAAGTAATGGGATATGATTCGTACGAACATATAAAACGCAAGCGTCAACATTGTAAAAATTTCAATTCCGCATGATTCCAAATTGAAAAATGTATATATATATATATATATATATATAGAAAAGATAAATTCGATACTATTATGACCTTTACTGAAATGGTTAAACTACACTACAAAAAAAATTGAGTCACGAGTGTATTAAAGGACAAACCTCCCTACCCTACCCTAACCCCCCCACCCCCCACCCCAAACCTCGCCCCACATTTTATTTGCCACTCAACCAACAGTGTCTTCCTATAAATCAGAGCCTCTAAACCAAAGCTGAGATTCCATTTCTTCTCCTCAGCACCTCCTTCACTTACTTCTTCAATGGCGGTTTCTGCTCAAGATTGCTCGTCTTGTTCGCTACCTTCGCTGCTGTTGCTTTTCATTTCTTCGACATTGTTCGCCGTTGGATTTTACGCCGCTCCGACTCACGCCTTGGACATCGGAATTCACGCGAACGCCGGCCTGAATTTGGTACGTGACCTCTAACTAATTGACTCCATTTTCCACGGTTTTTCAGTTACTGATGGCGCGAGATTGATTTTTCGTACGTGTTTGTGAGTGAATTGCGTTTATGTTGTTTTCTTGTAGCTTAAACAGTGCAGCAGAACATGCGAATCGTCGTTCTGTGAAGGTAATTTGATGATTAGAAGTTAGAGCCCTTTATCTGTTCTTCGTTGGTTGAATTTGTTGAATTTGAGGTTATTTTTCGTAGCTATTTTGATCTTCGTTCTGTGAAGGTAAGTTGATGATTAGAACCTTCTCTGTTCTTCGTTGGCAGAATTTGTTGCATCAGAGGTTATTTTTCGTAGCCATTTCGAATCTTCGTTCTGTCAAAGCAAAGTGATGATTAGATTTAGAACCTTCTCTGTTCTTCGTTGGCTGAATTTGTTGAATTGGATATGATTTTTCGTAGTTATTTCGATTCTCAACCAAGGAATTGTCTGATCTATGGCGATTTGCAGCACCTCCATTTTTGAGATACGGAAAATACTGTGGATTGTTGTACAGCGGATGTCCTGGAGAGCAGCCGTGCGATCGATTGGACGCTTGCTGTATGCATCACGATCAGTGTATAGCCAAGATGGGAAGTAAGTTCTCTGAAAATCAACTACACATATTACATTACTGTTTCTTTTTCCGCCATTGCTGTGCCTGATTAGGACTGTTTAACTTAGACGTATTTTTGTTGCGTGTTTGTTTTAATCAACTTACGGAAAGGAATATTCTCAGTTCACAAGTTTTGCTTATTATATATTGTGGTGGTGTATTTGTACGAGTATTGTCGTTTATTCATCTAATTAATTTTAGGGTGTGTTTGGTATGGCTACAGATAAATGAAAATATTTCTCTTATTTGTTTGAGTCAGAGAAATGAAATTTGAGAAATAAATTATTTGTATTTTTTTGTTTTTATTTTTAAAAATAGAGAAAAATGATATTGTAGTATATATATTTATTTTTTTTGTACTATTTAATTTTTATAATTATTTATATTATATTATTTAGTTTTATAAAAATTATATTTAATTTATCATTCAAGTATTAATTTTTTACTATTTTTTTTTAAAAAATTTATAGTAAAATATGATCTTACAAAATTTTGTATATAATTTCTACTTTTTTGTTTTAAAAAATGTTATCAAAAATATTTTTTCATGAATTCTCACTCGCTAAAACTCTTTTTTGTTAAATTAATCATTTATTCTTGTCCGATCCAATCAATTTTATTTTACATTTCTTAATTAAATTTTATATTCTAGAATTAATTCATATTTTCTACTTATATTCTTTTTCTCTCTAATTCCATTACCTCCTCTCATTTCTATGTAATTCCGTATGTAATTCCGTATATGTACCGCACGCCCATAAGGTACATATATTACGGAATTTGGATAAACTACATTGTGCTTGTTTATTAGTGGAGTAGAATACTTTCACTGTTTCGCTACAGTAATTTACTTTATTTTGTTTATTTGTCTATTTATTTTCATTAAATAGTTTTTCATGCATCCAAAATTATGATAATTTTTTTAAATAATTTTTGTTTAATAATAATTTATTATACTAGTATTTTGGTCATTTGTCTGTTTATTATTATTAAATAGTATTTCATGTCATCCAAAACTGTGATATATATAATTTTTTTATTTAGATTGTTTAAAAAGTATTTCAATTTTTTAGGAAAAAAAAAATATCTTTTCTATCTGCTGTATATAACCCGTAAATAAAATAGATAGTGGTGAGTATTTTTAAGAATTTAGTTGGTAAATAAAAAGAATGAAGAGAAAATGTAATAAAATTAGTGATATCTATGATAAACAAGTATTGAACGAAAAATAATAATTAAATATAATAATAGAATAAATTTAACGGGATAAAGAAAAAATAAAAATAAATTTGACTAGACGGAGGAAATATTGTTTTTTTCTATTTTTTTATTTACTATAAAAGATTTTTTTTTACTTAAAAAAAAACTAGTTTTTTCTTTTTTTTATTTAATACTCCATCCGTCCCAAAACAATAATTTTATTTTCATAAATAATAGTTTCATTTTCACCGTAAAATTATCCCTATTTTTTCATTATTATTATATAATTGTCACTAAAATAATACAATTGTCACTAATTTTTACACTAATATAAATTTACCTTTAAATCTCGTGCTTTTGAGACGGATGAAGTATTAAAGATATATATTTTTTTACTCTTTTTTTTTAAAAAAAATTGTTCCGATCAAATAGGCATAATTTTAATGATTGATGGAACATATTTTTTTCATATAAATAGAAAGTAAAGATATATGATTGTATGGGTAAATGGATGCAGATGATTACTTGAGCCAAGAATGCAACAAAGCATTCCTTCATTGCGTGGAGGTGTTCAAGAAATCTGGGGAGATCTCCTTCAAGGGCAATACCTGCGATGTCGATCAAGTCGTCTCCGCCATTAACCACGCCATGCGAGCTGCCATTCTTGCCGGTAGGGTTCTTGGTAAGCCCTAAATTATACTATATGCTCTTTCTAGTTTTATTTTACTGTCTTCAATATTTAGACATGCATCTTTTTTCTTTTTCTTTTTTTTTCCTTTTTTTTTTTCTTTTAAATGTAATCAATTGTTAAGATATATGAATATGTATGTATTTGTTGCTTGTCGGAATTTGTGATTCTTTATTGTCATTTCAGTGTGTTCTGGTATAGTTTGTCGCACATGATTCACCTAATATGATAATTCGACTTGTTAACCGTTCAATTTAACTCATTTGTAGAGATAAACTCACTTAATCCGAGCTCAAGAATTATTGTTTTTATATACCAACCGAGCTCAAACTTGACTCGCAAGCCGCTCAATTAAACTCGTTAGTGATCATATATTTCTATAATTTTATATATTAATATAAAATATATATAAACTTTTATAATCAAAACAGTAGTTATAATAACATTTGAACATTTCATGTGGTTGGTTAATCTTAATTACCTAACCATTCTTCGTTTACAGAGTACATACATACACTCCATTCCTAATCTTCATTAGAGTTGGATATGTCATATGTTGAAGACGAACTAACAACCATTAGAAATCACAAACAACAAATGATCTCTCAGATCAACCAAACACACAAAACAAAATCACATCAAAACTGTGGTTTATTCTTATTCAACCAAACATGTTCCATGTGATCAGATCATCATCGATCACACTTCCAAAAACAAACTCAATCGCTCCAAATCCACATCCTCTTCTAACTAACAAATCTACTACGAACTACCTCCTAACTCACAATCAAAACAATCCAAATCCCTAACTGTGAAAAGTCGGCTAATAAAATCGCACCAGAGTTAGAACTTAGAGCTTAGAACAGAGAATAGCATAGTAATCGAACCGTGCGAGTCGTCGAACTCAAACGGGGCTGAGAAGCTGCGACAGCGACGGCTTCGGATCGGAGTTCATTCCGATGAGAATCACCATAGGTATGAAACCGTAGTGAGCGATTACCTTGGCGGTCTTCATCGCCACCATGCTCCACTCCTTCAAATCCTTCGCCGCCGATCGTGGCTCCTCGTCGTCCGCCGCCTTCGGCTTCGGCTTCGCCTTCCGCATCCTCACAAATTTATGTGTTCCCGGCGGAGGCATATTCCTTTCCCCTATAAGGCTATAACACGTGTTTCTGCTTCTGATACTGATAATGATGATTTCTGTGAACCGTCGCTGGATGGAACTGCCGTGCACCTGCGTTTATATAGTAGAGCCTCAACTGAAGCCCTAGGAGAAATATTTCTTCATTTAATTAATTAATTAATTATTTGATATACGATGGGCATGGGCTTTGTTGTGATTCGGGTTTGGGGTTTTAGTTTTTAAGTTTAAAATTGGGCCGATCTTTGTGGGCTTTTATTGGTCTTTGTCAGATTTTAGTTTTAATTGAAAAAAAATACAAAAATAATGCTTAGTTTATGTCTTTTTATTGTTGTTATTATTTTTAATTGAAAAAAATACAAAAATAATGCTTCCTTTTTTTTCATTTTAATGCAATACCTATGTTTTATTATTTTTACCTATGTTAAAATAATTGTGGATCGGAGTTGATCTAATCAAATTATTATACTGCTGATTTAATCGGATCGATATATCACATTGATAATCAAAATATATTATATTCCATCATTCCATAATTAGTCTTATTTGCGTTCGATATTAAATTTAAAGAATAAGGATATTATATTGACAATGAATAAAAAATATGAATAAAAGATATTATTGTATGTCATTTTAGTTCAGTAATTGCATCATATTCCGTAAGTGAGAAATTTTAGCAACTAACCATTTTTGTCATTTTAGGTCAGTAATTGTATCATGTTGCAAATTAGTTTCGTAAGTAAAATTTTTTAGCAATTTACTCATTCGGTGTCAAAGATGCCTATGTAACCCCATGTGGCTTGCCTGAAGAGACTTGTCCGCAACGTAAGCGACACCTAGCCGACATTTGAATTTCTATTTATTTTTTTAAAAAAAAATGAAAAATAAAACAAATAATTAAATATAAAAAAAATTAAAAAAATCCATGTGTCTGTTAGGGTCCCTGTATGGCGGACACGTGTCTTATGGCGAACCACGTGGGTGCCGCCACGTATCTCTGACACTGAACAACTAAAAATGCAAAAAATCTTAACTTACGAAACTAAATTGCGATAGACTCCGATTAATGGACTAAAAATCAGTTTAGTATATTTTTATACCCACTCGTCCATTTTGTAAAGCAATTGATCTTTGAATATTAATTATTATATCAATACAAATCAAAATTTACTTATAATAGTGAGAGAAGGATGTTCATAAAATAATAATAATAATAATAATAAAATTATACAAATATAAAGATATTTTTAATGTTAAACACATTAACTCAAAATTATGCAAAAATATATCGAACTAAATCTATTTGGCAACAAGAAGTCCAACAAATTGTGAAAGTTCTACGGCTCGAATAACACTTCTACGTCATACATATCACAGTTAATCAAATTCAGTAGATTCAGTGCACAAACATATATGTATGCAAATTATCTATTGAGGTCGTATGTATTTAGCAAGTGCAGGGCTCTTATTTGTAGAAACCCTGATAACTTATTAACTGGGTGATAAGACCGATTAATAATAAGATATATAAATAGAGTTGTGACCAAAGTCTAGACTCAGCCATCATTATGTTACCGGAGTTCCTGCACATAAGAGTCCAATACTTACTAAATACATGTAAGCCCAATAAATTAATAAATTATTTAATATAGGTTTACTAAATTAACCAAATAGTTAAATCTTATTACGGGGGGAGGGGGAGTGGGAATACGGTGAAGCAGTTAAATCTTATTGGGCCATATGAAATTGGGTCTGGGCCTATGTCAGCTCCAGCATTATTCTTGAATTTAGAAATACAAACAGTACGGGCTAGAAAGATTCGACCCAGATCCGACTTTACCGTGACGGGTTCGGATTATAGTTCAAATCAAAATTTGATTCGGATCGGATTCTGATTAATTAATTATTAATATTAAGTATAAATATATTTTCTGAGTTGATAATTTGGGTCTATTCTTTATATATATATATTTCAAATTGAATTTATATTATTTTTTATATAATATTTTGTTACTAATGTATTTTTTTATTATAATAATATTTTTTTTTTAATGAGATAAAAAAAATGAGATATTTTTATTAATACTAAAATGAGATACTTTTTATTCCTTTGTACCAATGTAATTGTGTGCTCCAATGCTTAATAGAAATTTTAATAAAATTGAGTATTAATAATAATTTTTTATTATTTATAGTAAAAAAAAAATGTATATTTGTTTTAATTCAAAATATCAATTTTTATAATTTCATAGCTAAAAATAATCATAGATTTATATCAAAATATTTTTAAATTTTACTTAAATTATAAATATATTATTACATATAAAATTACTTTATATATAAATCAATGGACAAAAATGTCAAAATCATTTACATACTTTCACTAAACCAATAAAATACTACATTCTCCGTCTCATCTACCGTGTCCACATTGCCATTTCTATTAATCTTACATCTCATGTCAATTTACTTTTCTGAAAAATAATTATCTCATCTTAAATTTTATATTTTATATATTTTTTTAATATATTTATCCTAATTTTTTATATTTACGGTCACTCGAACATATTATCTTTTAATATATTATAAAATCCCCAAGAATCTTTTTGGAATTAGACCGAGGAGGAAGTAATATTTTTTTTTAAAAAAAATAGAAATTAAATTATAATTTTTTTTAAAAAAATAAATATATATTTAGAGTACAAATGACTTTCATTTCAAATGTCTTTCAACATTTACATTTTTTAATGTTCTAAATAAAAATTATGTAATATTTTTAAAATAAAAAATAATTAATTATATTTAATTTATATTTTACACTTTATTTCATCCCATTATTTAAATAATAATAAAAAATATATATAAATATCTTTCCATTATATTATTTAATTTTAAAATTATTCTTTTTAATACTCCTCTTTTAACGCGGAAATGAATTAGAAGTGGTCAAGGGAGGTCACTACCGGGCCCAGACTAATCATTACTCGGCCCGGCCCGATCCGACATGACTACGCAATTAATTCTAATGTATTTAATCATCCCGTTGTGTGCCATATTACTCAAACCGTCAGATCTGCCGGTACGGTGTAGTAATACGTCATACTACATTTCCGTTCGCCGTGGAATCGCATCATCGCAGATCCCAAACTGACCTGAAAATTGTTCAACAGGCAGGAAATGCATATCCGTTGGGCACTGAAGTACCGAAAAATTAATTAAATCGCTGCGAGGCTCAGCTTGTTCCGTGGTCAGGAATAATGGAGGGGCAGAATGCAGAGAAGCCTCTTGTTTTCGCGTATTATGTGACTGGACATGGATTCGGCCATGCGACGCGTGTTCTCGAGGTTTTCCTTTTTGCTCAATGGTTGCTCACATTTTCTCCTATTTGAGTTATCGATCGGGAAGGAATTATGCATTATTGAAATTTGGGGAAAATTTCAGTATTCGAGTGAATAATGGCTTTAGGTTTCAGGCTCAACTCTGTTGCTATCACATTTGATCGCGCGATAGTTTTGCATTATTGTCTTGATCGTGTTCTTATGGATTCTTTGAACGTATTAATTGATTTTAATGGCCCTTAGATAGGATGTCAGTTAAATGATTTTAATTTTGTCAATAAATCTGTTTGAAACATGTTTTGATTCTGTTGAAGTACATGAAGAAATCCTATGAACTGTGAGCAAGTTTTGTTTGGAATGCTACTATGCTAGCATTGGTTTTACTTATCTCATAACAATCAATGTACATAGATAAGTGTGTTTGGTTATGTTTTGGAATGTTTCGGTAATAGTAAAATTTGAATTGAAGATCGTGTTTTAAATAGAAATTAGTTGTTGGTAATGTTTTGATTTTTGAAGGTTTTTTTATGGAATGTTTTTAATGAATAATTGGTGTTTGATGTAGAAATTATATTTTAATTTAGAATGAATAATGAGAAAAATTTAGCTATTTTATGCTTTGAATTGGTATAATCATAAATTCATGACATTTTTTAAACAATTTCTTGTAGAATTTTTTGCTTCCTTTTCTTTTTGTTTACGTTGTGTATGCATTGAGTTGGCAATGTCGAATGCTAGCTGATGATGAACTCAAACCAATTATTATATGGCATCCTAATAATGTGATCTCTGGAGTGATTTAATTCATGTGATATCATATATCTCATGTATAGGTGGTTCGAAATCTCATCCTGGCAGGGCATGAAGTTCATGTGGTTACTGGTGTTCCTGAGTACATCTTCACCACTGAAATAAAGTCGCCAAAACTCTTTATCCGGAAGGTCAGTATTGTTTTTGATGCTTTCATATGGTAATGGCTATTCAGTTTATTGAGATATTGTCTATGTAAAAGATAAGTTGCTTGTGGATAAAAAAATAAACTGTTTATCAGAAACCATTTTTCACCACTTTTGTGATGGATTGCACGCAAAGAGCCGACTCATTTATTCGCTTACAGTTCCCCATGATTTAATAGATTTTATGGAGTTGGAAACTTCAATTCACATGCTGAAAATTTAAAGATGTTTATGCTGTAATTTTATTGAAAATTTTCTCATGAGCTTGGGGTATATAGATAACTTTACATTCTTGTTTATCATTTGTTGTGTATGTATTTGTTTGAAGGTTCTATTGGATTGTGGAGTTGTTCAATCAGATGCTTTGACAGTCGATCGCCTTGGATCATTGGAAACGGTATGCTAGTGAGGAATGAGCAATAAAAAATAAATGAAACCAACATCTTATTTACTCCACTTTATTGTTCCATCATGAAGAGATTTTATTTTATTTTATTTTCGATCTCCTCTCCTCTTCATTGATGATATCTTTCTTTCTCGAATCCAGTATGTCAAGACAGCAGTTATACCTCGAGCATCCATTTTGGCCTCTGAGGTTGAATGGCTGAAGTCTATCAATGCTAATTTAGTGGTAATGTATTACTTTTGGACCTGTTTTTTGTTTCCATATATTTTTATACTAAAATTTGGAATCTAAAGCCTTGGCCTGCTTTCTTCAAGATATTCAAAATCATGGTTTACTTATGGAAAAGCCTTATTTTCGTATTCATGTGTCAAATGTGTAAATAGGCCTGTGATGCTGTTCCTATTGCATGCCGAGTAGCTTCAGATGCTGGGATCTATTCTGCGTGCGTGACTAACTTCAGGTGATTACAGATACATGCTTAAACTCCTACACAAATTTTGTTGATTTTAATTTATTTTTATGTAGCCAATGTTTCCCCTTTTGTGTATCAATAGGGCTTTATTTCATTCTTTTGTTAATTGGTGGTTTAGAGGCAAGATCATTTAACAATAAATGTTGATTTTAGAGGTGGGTGAGGTGTTCTGTGCATGTAGATATGACGTTGAAGTGGGAGCAATCAGCAAAGATCCGAATTTATAATATTTGTATTACATGATCCCTCTGTGCTGCAATTTAAATTTTAATCTTGACATGAACATCCGGGATGCATACTTGAGTTGCCTGGGCTTTCTATTTCCAAAAGAATGTTAATAAATAGTTCGTTCTTTCTCATTAAAGTGTCTTTGTTCATAGTTGGGATTTTATCTATGCTGATTTCATAATGGAAGCTGGAGATCACAGCCATTCGATTATCTGGCAGGTGCATACTATCTAAATTTCTTTGGACCCTTGTCTGCTTGTTTCAGAAATGCAATTGTTGTCACAAGAGAACTTACTTCCTTTTGATTGAATGACATCTCTGCAGATTGCCGAAGATTATTCTCATTGTGATTTGCTGATTCGTCTCCCGGGATACTGTCCAAGTATGTTGGTGCTTAATGTTTCTTTTCCCCTTGATTTCTTCCATGTTTTAACTCTCTTTCAAATGACTTTGTCTTCTTTGTATTAGCCACTATATGACACAAGAAAATTACTCCAAAATTTGTGCTGGTGTTTCTGCATAGAAGTCCATTAATGTATGCCATTTTATGCAAGGAAAATGTGAAAAATTACATAAGAAACCCAGCACTTCTAACCTGGTAAAACTCTAACAAATTCAATATATTAAGTACAATTATTATGTGAAGAATAAACATGATTAACTAATAATGTCAACACAATCATAAAGTTCTCCACGATTAAGCAAATGAAAGAAAAATTAGAGTTAGAAACTGTCCCCTTTTTTTTTGGCCAAAACCTTTACTGTATCTCCTCAATCCATTGGCATATATGCTAATATGAGGTCCGACAATATTAAGTTTTATGCTAGACGAGGAAAGAAGGACCGAGTTAGGCTTGATCGTGGCACAAGGTTAATGACTCAACAGTGAGCTTTTGCTTTTGTTTTATTTTATTTTTGGAGGTTTTTATGTAGTGTATCTTGAGTCCATGTATATCAGCTTGTTACGAGGGAGAACTGGTTTTCCTCCATAGGTTAATTCTTTGAATCTTGAATAAAGTTCATTATCTTCAATTTTACCCTACATTATGTCCTATCATAAGCTACATCTCATTTAACTGATTAAAAACCTATGATTTTGTATATATTTTTTTATGCTTATTTGACTCAGTGCTTCTTCTTAGTATTTATGCAACCAATATGATATTCTGCTTCATTGTAGTGCCAGCCTTTGGTGATGCCATTGATGTACCTCTGGTTGTTCGGAAATTACATAAGCCTCGGTCAGAGGTGCGGCTCATGCAACCAAATGTGCCCCGATGGTGCAAGCAGCTTTTCCTATTGTTTATTTAACGATTTTTCTTTTGTGATCAGGTTAGAAAGGAACTCGGAATTGGTGAAGAACAGAAAGTTCTCATCTATAATTTTGGTGGGCAGGTTGAGTTTATGTGTTCTGAACTATTCCCTATGAAATTTTATTACGTCCTGATAGAAAAATTGAAATTAAATTTAAGGAGTACATTTGTATGCTTTAGTAAGTTCTTGTTTGACAATGTGTTATCTAGTACATGTTGATATTTTCATTTAATATTTTAGGAATGAAAATAAGTTCATTCTTTCTTCAATAGATTATTGTTTTGCAGTTTATAGATCCTGTCCTTCTAGCTGCTTTTGTTCTCTCAATGATGTATTCTACTTTTGTTTATTATATTTCAATTCAACAGTTGTTTTGGCCATCATAATGACAGTAGTATGCAGTTCGAAGTTTCCCAGCAAAGCCTACATAGCTTTTTACGTTCAATTTTCAGTTTCTCCTGTACGTTTTTAGTGATACTTCCTACCATTTCTTTTCCTTTGGTTGCAGCTAGCTGGATGGAAGCTACAGAAGGATTATCTACCCGATGGATGGGTCTGCTTGGTTAGTATTCGAAAGTGCTACGTCACATGTTGGTATATGCCTCTTTCTTTATTGATCATATGTTTATTACCTTCTGATAATTTTAGGTTTGTGGGGCAACAGAAGGCCAGGAACTACCCAATAATTTTGTGAAACTTCCGAAGGATGTTTACACGCCTGATATAATTGCAGCATCGGACTGCATGCTTGGTAGTTATCTCTTTTAGAGTATTTGTAAGGTTTGATATTTTTGACGTACTGATTCTTAGATCTTGACAGGTAAAGTTGGATATGGTGCTGTTAGTGAAGCTTTGGCTTACAAAGTGCCTTTGATCTTTGTGCGAAGAGACTATTTTAATGAGGAGCCATTCATGAGGAAAGTGCTCGAGGTATGGACTGCCCGGCATCTTTATCTTCAACTTGCTTTCAGAAAGGGTAACAACTTAACTGTTTCATATCTGATGAACAGAATTATCAATGTGGGGTGGAGATCATAAGGAGAGACTTCCTTAGTGGACGATGGGCGCCTTATATCGAACGTGCTGTTACACTGAAACCTTGCTATGATGCCAACGTTAATGGTGGTGAGGTATCTTATCTCTTGCCTTCGATTCTAGAAATGTTTATCACTATGGCAATCATGTGCACTTGGAAATTTTCATTCAACTTCCTTCACAACCCCAAAATGATTCAATCTAATTGCTAACTGATAAGAATGAAATTTAGGGTTTTATATGTGGATTAAAAATAGGTTTGAATTTAGGTATATTGTAAATGATCAGATATTGAATTGATGAAAAGATGTTGTGAGTGAAGATAGAAATGAAGAACAATATGATATTTCATTATAAACTAATGAAACAGTAAATTTACATTATAAAAGCGATAAACAAAGCAGTAACATCAGGGGTGGAGAGAACTCCATTGATCCCCCGACTTCCACTAAACTAAACTAAAAGAACTCCTAAAGGATTGGAGCTCTAGTAAACAAAAATGAACTGAGAAACAACAGAAGTAAAAACACCCAAGTGTAAGTGTTCTTTTACAATGAATATCTGGCTCTATTATAGTATTTTTGGAGACGGCGGTTGAGCAGTTTGAAACAGCAGTTGGAGGCGGTTGGATGTTGTTGAGAAGCTATTGCTACTGCTAGACAGTTAATTTGTTGCAAGTTTGTTGAAACTACGATTACTTTCAACTCGTCCGCTTCGTTGGTCTGGAATGATCGGCACAAATATTCCTTCTCGCTGACTTGGCTGAAGGGCATCGGCACAGTTCAAGCCAAATTATCATCGCTGGCCAGCACTGAATGGCTTGACCACTAGGAGATGCGCTTAGTGGAATGCTTGTCTGTCTCTTGCCTTAGTTAAGGATGCCTTCGCTGGTCTTCTTTACTTAGTCAATTTTGTGTGTCAAAATATCACTTGAGTAGGACCAAAACATTAGTAATCTTAATTAAGGAACATTGGATCGTATCAAGCTAAACAAATCATATGCCATAAATTAGATATTGTGATAATTTTCATATAAAATTTCAAGTAATACACAATTTTATCAAGTAGTAAATATGCTCAAATATGGAGTTATCACTAACTCTATAATGATTAGTTGTTTTATGTGCTTTCAGCAGTTGCATTATCTGGGTTTGTTGTTTGAGTTTCAATGACGAAATTCATTTTGTATATAACTTCTTGTTCCCAGCGTCGTTAATTTTAATAATGTGTTTTTATGGTCTTTTTCTCAATTTATCAGAAGCATTTGCATATCAATATTTGAACAATCAGTTGTTTTCCTGATTAAACCTTGTAGGTGGTTGCCAAAATACTCCAAGATGTGGCTTTGGGGAAAGGCCCTACTTCTAAGGTAACATTTGATTTCGGTTTCTTCGTCAGTTTTATTTATTTATTTTCTGATAAGGCTATCAAGGATGAAAGACAATGAAATATTATATCCTTGATCGTAATTGGGGATTCTGCATCACATTCTGATGGTTTATTGTACTGATCCGGTAGTGTTGCCATAAATGACAAGTTTTTTAATTGGCTTGAAACGAAAACTATTGATTTGGTGATGATGAACGGAAAAGTTCGTTTGAGTTTTAAATTTTCAAGCACAATGTGGTCGAAGCATTAGCCAATGATGAAATGAATTGTTGGACTAAAGGATATGATTTGTTTGGTTAGTAAGGAGAATTCTGAAACAGAGTATGAACTGTAAACATGTCGTAGAATGTTATTATTGTGTTGGTTTTATTACTTATGGTGTTAATCAGTTTATCTGCCTCCTTGCACTTGTTTGTTCAATCTAGATTAGTGGATCACGAAGATTGAGGGATGCCATAGTTCTTGGTTATCAACTTCAGAGCATTTCCGGAAAGGTTATCGACATTCCTGAGTGGTATGTTGCACAGACTCAATTTATCTCCCAAACGTTGGAACACGAAAACATTATTCGCGATCCTTCCACCGCTAAAGAGTAAGTTTTCCTTGCAGTTTAAACTGATCAGTTACAGTACAGTATTGCTTTTTATAAAAAATTGAGTCTCTTGACAATATTGGGATATGCTTATTCGTTTCAACTCAATGTTTTATAGAATCGAAGCTTTTGAAATTCTGCATGGCGAGCATCATGGACTTTCGGATACAATTGGCTTCTTAAGATACTTGACGGAACTGCACGCCTTAAGCAATGGTGATAATTGTAATAAGAATCAGTTGCGGGACAGTCTTGCTGCTGCTGCAATATTTAACTGGGAGGTACTTTCAATTCCCTTTCGACTTTTTATGTAGCTGTAAGACTATTTTGTATGTAAAGACATTGAACTGCAATATTAGAGCTTTCAATTTTTTCGTCTTTTTGTTATGTTGAAGGAAGAAATTTTTGTCGCTAGAGCTCCCGGAAGGTTAGATGTGATGGGAGGAATTGCCGATTATTCGGGAAGTTTGGTCCTACAGGTTTATTGATTTTCTATGATATACGTCTCTCGTCGAAAAATTAACTAGCTTGTAAGTAATTTTCTTTCTTTTTCGAACTCGTTTCTGCAGATGCCGATTAGAGAAGCATGCCATGTAGCCGTTCAACGGAGCTCTCCCGACAAGCATAAGTTGTGGAAACATGCTCAAGCCAGGCAGCATGATAAAGGACAAGACTCTGCCGCTGTACTCCAAATTGTAAGTATTTGTGTTTTTATAGGTGAAATTAGGTTTTTATCTTATGATTTTGAATAAAACTATGAAATAGGTTGAAGAATTAGGACATTAGATCGAGCCTATAATGAGATATAGGTTTTACATTCGCCAAAATATTTTCGTATCACGACACCTATTTCAATAGTAATCTCACTCGTCAATTTACTTCGATTCTACGAAATGTATATTTTAGAGTTACTGTTTGCAGAAACTTGAGACGTCGATTTTTCAGGTATCATTAGGATCCGAACTTAGCAACCGAGCACCTACGCTCGATATGGACTTTTCGGAGTTAATGGAAGACAGTCATCCGATCTCATACGAAAAAGCACAACAATACTTCTCTCAAGATCCATCTCAAAAGTAATTCTTACTACTTTCTAGTGCTCGACAACTTCTTTCTAAAACTAGTTTCTTACCACCCCGTGTTTCCATCCTAGGTGGGCTGCATATGTTGCTGGAACGATTTTGGTGTTGATGACCGAATTGGGCGTACGGTTCTCAGACAGCATTAGCATACTGGTAAGAAGTCCTTGTCCAGACGATGAAGATGAAGATGAAGATTTGCTTGATCTTATCAGGCATACGGCGTTTTCGTGTAATGTAGGTGTTTTCGGATGTTCCTGAGGGCAAAGGTGTGTCGTCTTCTGCTGCAATTGAAGTCGCAACGATGTCTGCCGTCGCTGCAGCTCACGGTACCTTATAATGCATCTTTACACGATGAAGACGGCGATGGAAATAATTCTTCGATTTCTTGACGAGTAAAATTTTTTCTTTTTGCAGGATTGGATATTTCGCCGAGAGATCTTGCATTGCTATGCCAAAAGGCACGCCTGCATTTAGATCGCCTCCCCTTCTCGTTCGATAACTTTGAAATTTTATCGTACATGCATTTTACAAATGTAACAGGTCGAGAACCATATTGTTGGCGCTCCGTGTGGGGTGATGGACCAGATGGCTTCGGCGTGCGGCGAAGCGAATAAACTTCTCGCGATGCTATGTCAGGTGAGAATCATATTAGAAACGAACATCGTCTGCCTGAATGTGCAGCTGAATTATTCTATCCGTGTTTCCGGCAGCCTGCCGAAGTTCTAGGACATGTCGAAATACCGTCTCACATTCGATTTTGGGGGATCGACTCGGGGATACGCCACAGGTTTGTGTTTACAGTGTCTCGACAATTATACGTGTTCGATTATCGCAACCTGGTGTGTTTTGCAGCGTTGGCGGCGCGGACTATGGATCTGTGAGAATCGGGACGTTTATGGGTCGAAAGATGATCAAGTCAATGGCGTCGGAAGAGCTGGAGTCGAAACGTAATTTGCGGAAAGTTGAAGGAACAAACGAACATCGTTCCGATTTACTTCAAACTGAAGCTGCATTGAACTACCTCTGCAACCTCCCGCCGCATCGGTTCATCTCTAATTTGTCCATTCTTTATGACGAATCTTTTTTCTTCTTAAAAATATTAACCCGGCGACACTCTTGTCTTCCAGCTACGAGGAATTGTATGGGCATAACCTTCCCGAGTCTATACTCGGAAGTGATTTCTTGGAGAAGTACAGCCATCACGATGACACGGTAACTGCGATCGCCAAAACGAGCAACTACGCGATACAAGCGCCCACAAGGCATCCAATCTACGAAAATTTTCGCGTCAAGGTAAGTAATTTGAAGTATGGTTCGATCAAATTACCGTTGTGCTTAATCGAACGGGAAATGTAGGCCTTCAAAGCATTACTATCTGCTGCTCCGTCGGACGATCAGCTTTCAGCTCTCGGCGAACTCATGTATCAGGTAATTACGCTAGAAATTATTCGACCGGGTTCGGTTGTGCGTTCATCGATTTCTCTACGATGCTGCTAAACTATTGCCTAGAACTTTTATACATTTATATTAAAAGTTCATGTGGTTATATATGTACCACGAATTCAGTGTCACTACAGCTACAGCGCTTGCGGACTTGGGTCGGGAGGGACGGACAAGCTAGTCGCAATGGTGCAAGAAATGCAGCACGCGAAATCGTCCAAGTCCCATGGCGGGACTTTATTTGGCGCCAAGATTACCGGTGGAGGATCCGGTGGGACGGTTTGCGTCATTGGGAGAAATGCTCTAAGAAGCGGCGAACAAATTTTCAAGGTATTTTGCGGATATTTATATTATTAGTCGACAAGAGAGTTTGTGCCGTGAAATCGTGCCAGCACTGTTTTAACATAATAATAATAATAATAATAATAATAATAATAGTAATAATGCATTAAAATAATGTATAATAAGATGTTTTTTAAGAAAAAATATTAAAATAAATAGTACTTCCTCCGTCCCACGTAATTTATCTCCATTCCATTCACATAATTTGTCATTTTCTTTTTTTGAAAAATTGATTATACACTTTAATTATATTTTAAATTTTTAAAATTTAATTTTTTTAATCTTAATTAACTATTTAATTATATTAATCTTAATCTATAATTATTTTTACTAATATATTTTAAATTACTTACTAATTATACTTCACCTAAATTTTCGTATTTACAGTAACACGTCCATCTTATTTAAGACGGAGGAAGTAAAAATTTTGAGTTTGAACGTTAAAAAAACACATAGTAAAATTTTAAATTAATATAATTTTTTTTATATGAAACAAATAAGTATTTAATGTGATATTTTAAATAAAATTTATTTCTAATTTAATTTATTCAAGTGATTTATTTTTTTTTTTTTATGTTTTTTTTGTAGAGATGAGGAAAAAAAGAAATCATAGTAGCTAGTGAAAATAGAATGGTGAAAATATCACCAAACAATTTTTATTTTTAATTCAAAGTGAAGTAACTGGTTTCTTTGGTTGCTGTTGGATATTGATTTGAAATTCTTTTAAATAGAATTTTTACCTAATATTTTGTCAAAAAAAAAAAAAAAAAAAGCTATTTTCTTTAAAAACTGTGCTATGTGAATAATATTTCAATAAACATGTTCTTCATACATTTACTTAAAACCCAAAGACATATATCTAAAAACATTCTTTATATTTTTGCGTGGCCAGATACAAGAGATGTACGAAGCTACGACGGGGTTCTTGCCTTATGTCTTTGAGGGATCTTCACCGGGTGCCGGTAAGTTTGGCTTTTTAAAAATCCGACTAAGGCCACGGACAACATAATTACCCATTCGGACGGACAATGTCGAGCATGAAGGTACGTTCGTTGCAAGTGTTGGAAATTATTTTCGAGATTGTGTTTTTATATGTTCTTATATTCTTTAGAATTTGTAGCTCTAATTCGATCATGTTGAATTTATTCAAAAATTCGGTAAAATAATCTATATTTAGTTAAGAATTGTTTTAATCTCAATGTTTAGAGTAATAAAAGATTGTTTCATTGTAAATTGAATTATGGTGTAATATATATTTTGAATGTTTTAAAAGTTATATATTTTACTAAAATATATCGTATGAATGTTATTTTATAGAGAATAATAATATTTATATTTTTCCGTCCACTTGGTGAGTATTATTTCGCCATTTTATTTGTCCAAACATATTTAATTTTTTTTTTATATATATATACTCCGCTACACATTATAAATACTTTTATGTTTATGTATTTACATCAGTATTTCCGTATTAACTTTGTCCATCATAAGGGTAAAATAGTTTTTAAATATCAAAAACTTCACAAGTTATAGTTAAAATATAACATTTATTAAATTTTAAATAAAAATAAATATTTATTTTCTATGTGAACGAAGAAATATAATATAAATAAATGAAGTATATATTTATATACAGTAAAACCTAAAATGGCAAGCGGCAAAGTATTGCAATAAGTAAAGATTGTGTTTGTTCTGAAGATTCAAATTTAAATTGTAATGTTTATTAATTTTGTTCTTTTTAGAACATTACTTAATTTTTTTATAATAAATTTTGCATGCAAAATATTACGTTATATTTATATATATTAAATTAAATAACTATTATAATAATCTTAAAAAAGGATTATTTTGATCTCAAATTCAATTCAGAGCTACAAACAAATAGGACAATTGGATATTTAGGGACAGTCCACATGATGCGATTTAGTGATGAATCAAATTTTGCATAAAATTAAAAATCAATCACAATCCATCGTTTATTGTATTGTATTGACAATAAATAGTTTTATTTTTATTTTTTAAAATTTATTTTAATAATCTCCGGCTCATAACCGTTTACATTTTTTTTTTTCATTTTAAAACGTATTATAACAAATATAATTAATTTAATTAAAATTTTAACATCGTTGACCCATTCTAATTTTATTTATTTTTATTTCTATTCAATAAATTAAATTTTTTTATTTATATTTAAATTGACAAGAGACATAAAAATAAAAATATTTTGAAAAATTTCGAACGATGTTTTGTAAAAAAATCAGTACAAAGGAAAGGTCCGGTTTATCTGTACTTATTTTTATCGATTTTTCTAAATTAGCATTGTAATTACCATCTTATTTATATTATATTAATTTTAATTTAAAATTTTAATATTCCTTTTGTCTCATATCTATACGTCTATTTGTTTTTTGGACGGAGTTTGAAAAATATTAGTATTATATTAGGATAAAGTAGACTTTATAATAATATTTGTGTAATATATTTTAAATTGAAAATAAAAAAATACTTATGGTACGGACCAAAATGAAAAATAGTGAGAGTATTATTATAACCATGTCCCAAGAAAACGATCACTTATGTAACTTACATGTCCTAAAACTAGCGCCCTACCACAAATAGTAATGGGTTACCAAACATTTGAATCTTATGAAAAATTAATCAAATACAAACACTTGTCTCAAATTAATTGAGTAAATAATAAATAGAATTATTATAATTTAATTTTGCTTAAGCGTAGGTGTATTCTTTTATGGTTTTTTCATTTTATTTTTTATATAAATTTGTTTGTTGGATATCCGGTGCAACGACAGTAAATATTTGATGCGAAATTTTGAAGAAAAAAAATTATAATTAAACAGAAAAATAAAAAACACACAAAGAACAAATTCTTACTTTGCATCTAAAATTTACATTTATTTTTTATGTTATTATATTTAATATTAAAAATATTTTTATATTTGTATATTGAATATCCTTACATTAGTATTATAAAAAAACTAATGGAAGTACTTTTACAATTTTTTTAAATTCGTATTACGTTTTGATATAATAATTAATATGTAAAGATTAATATACAAAAAGTAAATGAGACCCACAGATAGAATCGGACGAAAGTAATATATATTTAATATAAATATTTATTTAAAAAAATATTATTAATAAATAATATGGAAGCCCGACCCGAAATAGTATGGGCCGACCCGGCCGAATGAGTCCAATCGCAATCAGGCACGGCACAACACATGTGAGGAATGGTGCCACGTGGCGGGCGTTGATTTGATGAGTCACCAGGTGCACTTTTAGTCGACGTCTAGGGAGACAAAGTGGGCCCACTTCGGTGGAGACATGGCAACAGAGATGGGACCCACTAATGGATGTCTAATATTCACACTTGCCTTGCCCTTGGGCCTTCGATTAATAATCAGTCTACGCTTTCATTTTTTTTATTTTTATTTTTTGTATTATTATTATTATTATTATTATTATTGGGTGGTTGGTTATAGCCAACAAATCAACACAATTGATTTGCTCCGTCACCACGTATAAAAGCATACATATTGCAAATATTTTTTCCATCTCAAATATAAAATTTAGATGAATAGTATATTTTTCATCATAATATAATAGTCTTTATTTAGTATTTTTATTAGTCTCGAAATAATAGTCTTATTTTTATAATAATCATATCAGTATAAAACTACCCTTACTTTTTTATTATTATTACATAATTATTACTACTTTTTACATTAATACACTCACAAGGGCAAAAAAGTCTTTACCCATACTTTTTACCTACTACCAATAAAATATCAATATTTCTTAAATTTCGTGTCCAATCCAATTAAAACTATATTTTTATGAGATGGAGAAAATACTCAAATATCAACATCCATAAAAATAAATAGATTTTACACGAGAATAAAGGATGAAACACATGTACTGAATATTGTTGCAAATTAAAAATCTAAGTGGTAAAAGTCCACACCTCAAAATGTGTGGATAAACTTTAGGGTGTGTTTGTTTGGAGGATTGAATTAGATTTTTACTATTCATTCCATTTTTTTTTCCTAAAAATATCAAATTATTTTTTTTTATATTATACTAAAAATCAATTTTATATTCAAAACATCACATCAACACCTATTTATATCACATCATACAACTAGTCAAATTCAAAATTTTTACTATTCAAATCCCAACTCAAAATTCAAACCCCCAAATAATTGGAAAATGATGCTTCGTGTGTATATATATATATATATAGATATAAACGTTGCTTTATTTCATGTAGATTAGGTTATGACAATGGCTTTTCCAATGTTAGAAAAAATGGCCTCTTCAATAATTCAATTTCTTTCTCAAATTTGGAGTTATCTTCCTATCGACATGTCCAACTCATTAAAGCATTTTCTACATTGTGAGATCCAATTCAAAATTTCAATCAATAAAATCCCAACGATAGTTGATTGGTTTGATTTGAGTTTTTTTTATTTTTATTTTTTTCTCCCCATTGTTTTTAGCAAGATACTTCGTAGTCCCTTCCGTCCCAAAAGTATAGTTTTATTGTGTTGGATACGAGATTTAAAAAATATTGATATTATATTGGCAGCCGGTAGAAAGTAATGATAAATAACTTTTTTGCCTTGTGAGTATATTAATGTAAAAATTAGTGACAATTGTGTAATAATAATGAAAAAGTAGAGATACTTTTATGGTGATATAGTTATTTATGTAAATAATACTATTGTTTTGGGACGGACAAAAATGATGAATTGTATTAGGACGGAGGAGGGGGGGCCGTATTAGACAAATTTTATGTGACAAAAAAGACAAAAAGATATCAGGGAGTTTAAATTCGGTATCTTATAACATGAGTTAGTTTAACTATTTTATTTATTATGTAAAAATTCACAGTGATTACTATTCAAAAATATTTTTAGTAAACTCATGGTCAAACTTAATAATCTATAAATTAAATCTGACAAAGTAAATTACATGTAAACTATATGTAACAAACAAAACGTATTGAAATTTGAATATAGGATTTGACTTAAATTTTCCACTATTCAGAATAATAAATTATAATACTCCTTTTGTCCCGTTGGAAGGGTGACTTTTGTTTTTTTTTACGTAGATTTTTTAATATTAGTATTATATTGGATTGTAGTAAAAAAAGACAAAAATATCCCTATTAGTATAGTATAATATAAAAGTAATGACATTTGTGTAATATATTATAAGTTGAAATGATATTTATTATGTTAAGTAGGTAGTACAATTACTAAATTATAAAATAATAACCTTATTTTGGGACGAACGAAAATAAAAAATGGTAACTTTTCAATTTGACGGAGGGAGTATTTAATTTTATTAAAATATTATATTAAAAGTGTTTTTATATGTATTATATCACATAAAAATATATATCAATACCAGATTTTAGTGACGATATTCCTAGATTCAATCTAATTAACAGTTGTGGGATAAACGTAGATTGTAAAAAAATTAAAAAATAAATCCCTCAATATTGAATCCAATAGATTAAAAAATATATATGTAAATGAAAGGGCCCTATAAAACTGTAAAGCAATTTGCTAAGTTATTTTTTAATTATTACTCCGTCGTTACGCAAATATGTGCTCATTTGATCGGCTACGGGAATTAATAAAACTGAATAATAATTGTTACTTCTTTTTTTTATAATAAAAAAATGTAACAATTTTTTACTTAAAAGAAAACGATAATAGTTTTCGATAACAACCTAAAAAGGAAAATGAACATATATTTCAATGACGGATAGAGTATTATTATTATTTTTTTTTCATATTAATTCTTATAAAATATAATAAATATTATATCCACAAATTATGTAATTTAAAATTTAAAACACAGATATTAAGATTATAATATTGTTATTGTTGTCACTCAAAATTATTGATTTAGATGACTTGTAGATTGGGAAGACAAATTGTTGAGTTTTCTGATAAATAAAATGATGGAATTGATGAAAAATAATTAAAAATACAATAAAATAAAATAAACAAAGAAAAAGCAAAGTCATACACTAAATGCCACACTTTTAGCCGTAGAAAGTCATTGATTGCCAAATTATTTTGGTTACAAGTACCATTTGTTTGTTGTAGTTTCAATATAAAAAAATTTATTATTCTGCTTGTACAGTTCTTGAAAAAAAAAATATATATATATATTCTCTTCCCAAAACAATATTTTAATTTTTATAAATAAGCATATCACTATAAA